TACACGTAAATCCTCCCTGGAGAGGACGGAGCTGAGAGCCTCATCCAGGGGCAGGGTCACCAGCAGAACCTGGGGCCCCAGTCCTAGAAGACCAGCAGCCCAGACCAGGGGGTGGGGTGCTCACCTGAGCACACATATGGGGGGCAGGAGGCCAGCGACAGACAGCACAGGGCTGGGCAGGAAGCAGTCTGTAGGGCAAAGAATCCACTCCCTGAGCAACAGGCCTGAGGGCGGAGTTTGAAACTCAAGCCAAGGCTAATTTCACTTTTCTGTGTCTGTGGGGAAGGGGCTCCAGCAGACTGGCTGGTGACAGAGGATTCCAGCCTAGCACTGAACTCCCAGGCCAGGTGCCCTTCCCCAGGGCAAAGCTGGAAGGTTTCCACACACACACACCTTGAGACCACCCTAAAGGTATCAGGCTATTCGCTCAGCTCCTCCTTGGGCTGTCCTTTGGGGTAAGCAGATGACTGCATCTTTTAGTTTAAATTTATTTTTATATAAGGTGAATTGTACTTCGCGCTCCTCTGAAACAGTCTGCACCACCGCTGGCCAGGAACACCAGATGGTGAGGCTGCAGGGAGAGTGGTACTCCACGGAATGAGATCCACCCAGCACCCAGCAGGTGGCACCAGCTGCCCTCTGCTGAGACACCACATCCTGCCTGCCCTGGGATCTGTGGTCAAGATGTTTCCCGCCGGCACAGTCTGAAATGTCAGTGGCTTTTTATTTTTATTTTGAAAAACAGGGTGTCCTACTAAGTTGCCCAAGCTGGCCTCAAACTTGCAATCCTCCTGCCTCAGCCTCTCAAGTCGCTGAGATGACAGGTGTGCACCACCATACCCGCCTGTCTGGAAATATTTTGATTATCTGGTAGCATAATTAGTGAAGCTCTCATAATGGAGAAACTGTGAGCTTACCATAACAAATTAAAAATCAAGCCAATTCTGAAGGAGGCTTCGGGAGGGGATGCTGATTAAAGATGATGGAGTTCAGCCAGGGTGTATGCCACTTTGCTTGTTATCCACAGAGTTTTCTTGCTCACACTTGGGAGCCTGGCTCTGTGATTTTTATGAGAAAGTGAATAGACCTGAAAGCATCTGCAGTGCTGGGCCCTGGCTCTAAAGAGGCAGGAACAGAATACTCTACCGCAGACTCCTCCTGGCAACCTGGGACAGACAGCTGGAGAGCAAATAAAAATAGTTGGGAACTTGGAAGCTTGGTGGAGAGACCATAGCCAACCACGGGGCTGGTCTGGTGTCTTCTCGTCTTCAGCCCTGAGAGCATAAAGCAAAACTGGTCTTGGAGGAAGAGGGACTCAGCGGTGGGCAAGACCCATCCAGGGAGTGCCCGGTGCAAGGTCTGGGCTGGGGGAGGCAGAACAGAAGGACAGGTTCAGAGACAGTAGCCAACAGCTATAGCTAGCACAGTGGACGTTCAGGTAACCTTTAGATGCAAACAGTGAATGCCTGTGCTTACTGTGGGAACAACAGTGTGTACCTGCAGGAGGTGCAGGAGGGAGGGAAAGCTGTTTCAGGGGGTGGGGGCACACTTCTGGGGCACTAGTAATAGTGTACGCTACCCCTATGACAGCACATGGACATGTGGACACAGCCTTCAGTTAACACAGGCTTCCGGATGCGTGAGGACAAAGGTCTAGGGCAGTGTCACCCAGGAAGGACTCATGGAAATCTTACCCAACTGGAGATGAATGGTTCTTCTCTGATTCTTTGTTCTCACTCATGTCTTCCCCACCCAACTTCCCCAGTGATCTGAATTAACACCTTATTATGGAGAATCCTGCACTACCATGCATTATAAGGCATGTGCCCTGGATACATCCACTGAGCTCAGTTTTACTCTTTTAGACTCTGGGAGGCATAGCCCAGGGCTGAACTTAGGTGCCCATCAACATGTTATCTGATGGTCAGCTTCAAAATTTACTGCAATGTCAAGGAATTAAAATAGCTCATCAGAGCTGGTGCTGGGGCTCAGTGGTAGAATGCTTGCCTAGCATGAGTGAGGCATTGGGTTCGAGTCTCACTACCATGCATAAATAAAAATAAAGGAGATATATATATATGAATGGCTCATCACTTGACCTTGATAGCAGGTGAATTGAGAACTAGCACGATCTTTGGGGGTTACTCACAGAAGGAAGGTGGGGCTGTAGCTCAGTGGCAGAGTGCTTGCCTAGCATGTATGACTGGTTCTATCCTTAGCACCACATATTACTCACCATTAAAAGAGAATAAAATTATGGCATTTGCAGGTAAATAGATTGAATTGGAGAATATCATGCTAAGAGAAGTAAGCCAATCCCCAAAAAACAAAGGCCAAATGTTCTTTCTGATAAGTGGATGCTGATCTATATGGGGTGGGGTGCAGGGGAAAAACGGAGGAACTGTGCTTGGGCAAAGGG